ATTTATATAAGAAAGGTGACAAAGATTACACAGAGAATTACAGGCCAATTTCTCTTGCCAATTATTTCGAAAGTTTTAGAACGGTGTATTTTCATGAACATTCGCAACACTTTTCTCGGATAATTTATGATCACCAGCACGGATTCCTCCAAGGAAAATCTTGTGTGACTAATTTGTTAGAAGCATTAGATTACATCGGCGCCAGTCTGGACAACGGAGGGCAGGTAGATATGGTATACCTTGACATGTCAAAAGCGTTTAACCGAATCAGCCATAAGCGATTGACGCAGAAATTAGCAAATTCGGGTATTGGCGGTAACCTGCTAAAATGGTTTCAATCGTACTTGACTGACCGTCGTCAACGTGTTACTGTACTTGGTGTAACATCGAAACCTCTACCAGTTTGTTCAGGCGTTCCACAGGAATCAATACTCGGTCTTGCACTGTTTCTTCTTTACGTTAATGACCTACTCGAAGCGCCCACGTCCAGTCGAGCTGCAATGTTTGCATGCCGGTGACACCAAGATATTCTCCGCAATTAAATCGCAGGACGATGTTACCGCTCTACAAATTGATCTTGGAACCCTGGAACATTGGTCAACGGTATCTAGGCTATCATTCAACCAATCCAAGTGCAAACATCAAACGAAACGCGGAAAAAAGTACGACAAGTGCCAGTTGCTTCCTCGAATAAGTTGGACGACTCAATCATATCCAGTACTGACAACAAAAGAAACCTTGGCGTGCGGTGGCTGTCATTGGATTTAACGTGGAAAAAACATGTGAACGGGCAGACAGCGAAAGCGAATAAGATTCTGGGATATGTTAGAAGGAACACTTTGCTTATAAAAAATACTGCAGCAAGACGAACGTTATACCTGGCATTGGTTAGGTCGCACTTTGGCTACGCAATACAGATTTGGTCACCACAGTCAGTGGAACTTATAAGTAAACTCGAAAGAACACAAAGACGTGCTACTAAATACATTTTAAATCTACCGTTTAGCACAGCTGTTGACTATAAATCGAGGTTACGGTCTATAAATCTTCTTCCTGTAAGCTATTGGCACGCATACTTGGACCTTATCTTGTTTTTCAAAATCACACATGGTCTAGTAACGCTAAATCCCCAAGTGTTGCCAGCTATCCTCGCCACTCGTAGAACAACCCGAATACCCGATCAACCTCATCAAAAAAACTGAAATATCAAATAATACCCAAAATCTTTCCTCGTAAGAGCGTGCCGAGTTTGGAATTATCTTGCAGATGAACTGAACCACCCTATGGTGGCCCATGAGTGCCAATAAAAAAATCATATATGAAAAATTTATTTTCCAATTTAAAAAATATATTTTATTTATTTTTATTTATTTTTTAAAGAGTTATTTAAAGAAAACGGTGATCATGGCCCAGGAGTGCCACTAATTTTTTTTTCTCTTTGTGGCCCATGAGTGCCACTCACCGCTGACCTATTAATTCTGAGCCATATACAGGTGACTGCCTAATAACTATGTATAGAATGACCTATTTATTCTGAGCCATATACAGATGACTTCCTAATAACTATGTATATAACTATGTATATAACTATAAAGTCACAGTCACACTGCTGGAAATAAATGGCGACATATAAACGACGAATGGAAAGATGATCAAGATCTTCGAGAAGATTTACAGACATTTGTTAGGCAAAACTTGAAAAGATGTGAAATTTTAGATTTTGTTGAGCAAAAATATCCAAATTATCCATTGAATTTGCGTACACTTTGTCGCCGAATGAAATATTTTGCTATAAAGTTCATAGATTATGACACCGAATTAGACAGCATTGAAGAGGCTGTACGCATGGAAATGGATGGCCCTGGGCTATTGCTAGGCTATCGTGCCCTACACAAAAAGTTACGAGAGGTACATGGTCTTATGGTACCAATGAATATTGTTTATGGAATGATGAAAAACGTGGACCCTTCTGGACTGGAGGAAAGAGGACCAGTTGGGAAATCGAAACGCCCAGTTCGAGCAAAACGGTTTACATCAACGGTAATTTAAATTTTACATATTTAATAAAAACTATTTACTCGTAGGGTCCGTTAGGAAGCTGTTCAGAAAATATATCACAGTTTTATGGGGTAGGAATTAGGAGGGTGTTTATTTAACTTACAGGTGGATTGCAAATATACCCTTCCGGAAAGTACGTCACCTTGGCTATAGAGCCTCGTTTTCGTGATTGAGACCTGGACTTTAACTAATAGAGACCTTACGATTTTAGGACGGCAACGCGACGGCCAAAGCAAAGTCCTTCAAATAAATGGTAGTCGATAGTTCGTCGTATATTATCAATCATTTGAATTTAATACAGTCTTAGAAGTTGAAGACATGGGTTTTACGGTTGGGAAGAGTTATGCTAAACCCAGTTTGAAGTTGCACTTGTTGTGGCTTGGAATGCAGTCGTTGTATCAACACGTGAAAATCTGCGATTTAGCGTTGTAAACAGAGCGAGGACAATGTCTAAATTATTCATATATTGTAATTACTCAATTCTTTTCAATGAACTATTGTATTGGTAGCCGTTGCAGTCGCGTTGCCGTCATAAAATCGTAAGGGCTCTAATGTCACATGCACGAAAACGAGGCTCTATAGCCAAAGTGACATACTTTCCGGAAGGGTGTATTGCAGTACATAGTTCATTAAATGATGAGATGATTAAATATAGTGTGAATCAATATGACATGAAATTTATCAAAATTTTATTGTGTAGAGCAGTAATTGCACCATGTCATTGGATGAGCATGACAAGTTGTGCGGTTACCAGAATTCCACATTCCCATTATGCATATATGGTGGCCAAGATACGTATAGTGGGAAAATTACTTTTTTTGCGGATATGGACCACAAATAGTAACCCACGCATTATTGGTCGCTTCTATTTAGAGTACTTGTTTGAAAGTCGAGGTATGTGGAAGTTTGTCAATATGGTCTGCTGTAGATTATCACTAACTGAATGTTTTCTTTTAAAATGCTTTCCCTACATATAACCACATATGAAAAAGTATATACAAGTGTTGTAGAATTGTAGCAAAGCTATTGCATTGACTAATAAGTAAGACTTAATATGTATTGACTAATGAGTCGAATAATTCTTTTGTTGCACAGTTTTGCCACTTTGCCACAAAGGGACAGAGACAATGGATATGGCCACCATTCATTCTTACCTTCGAAATCAGCATGGGGATTTGGAAGAAGCAACAGACAGCATCCTTTATGGACCATCGACTCAATAAAATTGAGAGGTGGTTGCGGGAGCTCTTGGAAAGGATGTAGAAGGAGAATATGACCCTCAGGACTCCAATGATAGGTAATTGCTCAACATATCATGTGCAATGACTGCACAGGCAGTCATTTCACAAAATAATTCTGAAGTCTTCATGTATGACGAATTCTGAATTCTTCATATATATGAAGACATAATATGGTCATCATGTTCACTCATTAGTTGGCAATGCCCCTAGATGTACCACCATAATTTAGAACTTTACTCTGTGTAGTGCCAAATAATTTTACTAGTCAGTAGAAGAATATTTCCAGTTAATGAGTTGGCAATTGGACTATTATAAGCCCCAAAATGGGAAATGAGTTGAAAGGTGTTTATTGTGGTTCTAAAGCAGCACAATAGTATATTCATATATTGACTCGTTAGCTAAATTAATATCTAGCATCAGCCCACTTCACTGAGTATGCAAATTCAATCATTGGCTTGAGTGAATATGCAAGTTTACCTTGAGTCAACTTTATGTTGCTCAGGTAGTTTTTTCTACTCAGGTAGTTTGTTTCTACTCAACTGTCAGATCTACTGTTCTAAGCACTTTGTGAATTAGTGTTTTTATGTCATACAACAAAAATATCATAAATTTATTGTTTTCTCCTTAATAGAAATATGCTGGCATTTGTGTATATTCCTATCCTGAAAAAGAACTAGATGTCTTTCGAACAACGATTTGGAACAACCATCGCAGCAGATATCAAAAAGAGAAAGAGCTACTGTGGGTATTTCTGAGCACATCTATAGTTTTCCAGAAAACTATGGTGAGGAAAAATGTGGGCTTCTAATCACTGAAGAACAGCTGCAAGAAGTGGCAGAACTGTCTAATGTCTTAGAGAACACAGATGACTTTCTGAGTAATTCATTTCGACAGGAATGTGAACGCCACATTCAAAATATTGATGATGTAAAATCTTCAGAAGCAGCTGTGGCATATTTATACCTTAAAGCAAATGTTGATTTAAGCATAGCTTGTAATTTACTTTGTTACTGTAATTTAATTTGTTTCTCAGTTAAAAACACTTGAACAGAAATATAAAAATATATTGTTGTAATGGTCCATAAACAACAATTAGTCCAATAACTGTAATATCTTCAAAGAGCTGCACATATAGTGTCAAATTCTTTATAACAGGAAGATGCAAGTTAATTTACTTTTCATGTAACTTTAACAATTTACAGAATTTGTTACATGCAAACATGCTGTGAGACAAATTTATCAATGGCTGTGAAGGACAAATTGCCATTGCAGAATAATATGTTATCGTTATCATCCACCGGTTGAGAACTTGCTATCTCTGGGTTACAAAGCGAATATTCAGCTCCCTGAATATCAAGCACCGTTAGGTTATTTTGCGATTTCACATATGTGCAATGGGAAAACATCTCAGATTTCAAAGCCAAATCATTTCCATCATGGGGAATAATCTCACCAGTGTTGTTGATATACTTTTTAAAATCCCCTCTAAGGTACTGTTCAATTGGATAAACTGGCCATCCAGTTTGCCATAGTAAACTTTGTTATACAAAAAAGAAGCACCAAAATCGGCAGATATTTCATTTCGCAGCATCTTACTAAAATGCTTCTCCAAAGTGTGGATATGTACAACCTTTCTGGTGTGGATCTCCAGTGAACCAAATAATTGAACTATATTATCGACTTTATCTTGTTGGTGCTTTTTTAACACAAATCTCCCTTCAATCCAGACAATGCTGTGTATTCATATACATCTCTGAAGCCACCACTTGCAAATTTCTCTTTGCTTACTGATAATTGCACTTTAAATGGGTCAAGCCACTTTTTGGTTTCAATCGAAAACTCTTCCACCTCCACCCTTACCAGATCTTTACTTGGTTTTGGCAGGATAAGTTTGCCCATGTTTATCATAGCACTTAATGGTACTGATGCAGGCATCATTGACTTGACCAAACCTTCAGGTTTGCGGGAAGCTACCACTTGCATGAACATGGCTGATGACGGCATCACTTGGTTTGTATGAGCCTCGGATAAATCAAAGTCTTGGTGAATGTTTACAGTCTCCTTGCTGTGCAGCCGCTCGATGAACCTCACATGAAGGACTTTCCAATCCTTTATTTGGCTCACATCACTGTAAGAAGGGCCCCTTTCTCCCGCTAAAAGATCGCACTGCATGTATTTAGGAACATCAAAATGCGCCGTACATGCTTTCTTTATATTTTCCATTGAGAATTCCAGACCAAACGGAACCATTGTTAAAGTTCCGACGCGTGCATGTGCATATTTCTGACATTTTCCTTGAACGTCTGCCGACAAGCGTTGGATTGTAAGAACCTCCGTCGTTCCAGGTACACTCTCTGCTTTCTTCCCAGACCTTTTTCTTGAAATTTTATCTTTAAAACTCTCCCATGTGCCCTGTTTTCTTTTCGACATTTTTAAAATAAAAAACAAACACATAGTTTGGCGCTAATAGTTAAGTACTTCATTCTATACATAGTTATTAGGAAGTCACCTGTATGGCTCAGAATAAATAGGTCAGCGGTGAGTGGCACTCATGGGCCACAAAGAAAAAAAGAATTTAGTGGCACTCCTGGGCCATGATCACCGTTTTCTTTAAATAACTCTTTAAAAAAATAAATAAAAAATAAAATAAATAAAATATATTTTTAAAATTGGAAAATAAATTTTACATATATGATTTTTTCATTGGCACACATGGGCCACCATAGTAGTCTACCTTATTAAGATGGTAAATAATTATCAATAAAATAAAATACTGTCGCTTGCAACGAAGGATGAACTATTCGCGTGAGAATATTGAATGTTTGTCAAGAGCACTTGACAGGTTTTAATCTGATCAGGCAATGATGTTCAACCAGCTCCAAGCTGATTGGCTGAGCGAATTCAACCTGCAACAAATGATCATCATAAACATTGATCTCAGCAAAAACAACGAACTTTGTCATGAGAATAGAGTCAATAGACAATGTTTTATCTGTGACAGTTCATCTTTAGTTGCAAGCGGCGGTAATGGAATAATTGCCGATTGATAAAGGGAATCTGCTTATAAAGTCAGTTTTAAGTAATGTCTGTTTCCCGCATATGGATTTTAATTGTTAGTTCGTTTTTAACAAGAATGCGTTATAAATGCTGTACTCATATACACCCTGACTTTCGTGTTATAATCTTATGGGGAAGTAATTCAATTATCTAACATTTTAATATAGGACAAGACAATAATATCCATCCAGCGGAAATTAAATGAAATTAATTAAAAAAACAGTAGAAACAAACAGCCTATATTTTAGTTTGGTGATTTAATGAGTACTTAGTGGCGTCTTTTTATATCCATGACTCCTTGAAGCATGACGGGTAACGTATATCCGGGCCTAAAATGCGTGAATCGGTTTTGTTAAAATCAGTCAACTTGGTCGTGTGTTGTGACCTCGAAAAGTGCCTTGAAAACGATTTTCATTAAGCATGTCTTAGATCTGAAATATTTTTACGGAGACTAACACTTTCAGGCACGCTGAGTTCAAATCCGAAAAGTTCCCGCTCCCTAGACCCGCAGTTTTGTCACAAAATGCTATTTTATCTTCACTAATTTCACAGCAAATTTTTCATTGTTCAACGACACGGATGGATGACGATACACGATTATGTCACTCAAAAGGACCAATTTCTACAGTATTAACCAGTCTTCCTTTTAACAAAAGACCGGTTTTGCTCGAGTCATTTTGAGTTATGCAATCCTATGTGTGTTGAACGTAAACAACATATCTTGTCTACAACTTTGAGAAGGTACAGATAATTCTTTCTAAAATCCTTAGTTCTGGATCTATATCTCTATAAAATCACAAGGACGTTAATGTTAAGTCTTTGGGTTATGTCTTTGGGCCGATCGAGAAATAATTCCTTACATGCGATCAAAATGTTTTGTACAAAGATGTACAACGGTACGTAATCTTATGTAATGGATATAAGCATTTAAATTTCCAACACAGTTTCCGAGTCGTAATTCAAGAGATAACTTATTATTGCATTTGAACTATTATATCAGTTGGTGTTATGCTGTGCGATAAGCGAATATTAGGCTATTGGAAAGAGGGCTTCGATATACGTTGAAATCACCAAATAAACAGCTCATGCGCACATTTCCCCACTTCGTCGTAAGTTTACAGAGCATATTTTATACTTTGGAACTGATCTTTGTCTTTGATGTGAACATTTATTCTTATAGTTTAGGTTGTCTAAGATTGATCCTGTCGTAAGTGTTCTACCAGCAACCAATCGACAATATTTCATTTTAGCGTTGCCTTTGCCGTTACGTTTGCTTCACGTTACTCTTGTTTTAAATACCTTGATCGTATTAATAAAAAAGAGTTATTTTTCAGGCCAGTGACATAGCCAAAAGACTTCGCATTAATGTCTTCGTGATTTTATAGAGATTTCTCTAGAACTGGGGATTTTAGAAAGCGTTATCTGTACTTTCTCAAAGTTGTAGACACGATATGTTGTTTACTGTACGTCCAACACGCATAAAATTGCACAACTCAAAATGATTCGAGCAAGACCGGTCTTTTGTTAAAAGGAAAGACTGGTTAATAAAAATTGGTTCTTTTGAGTGACATGTGTATTGAAGATAAAATAGCATTTTGTGAGGAAACTGCGGGACTACGGAGCGGGAACCTTTCGGATTTGAACTCAGCGTGCTTAAAAGTGTCAGTTCCCTTCAAAATATTTCAGATCTAAGACATGCTTGATGAAAGTGAACGATATCGGGTCACAACACATGGACTAACATTTTAATATACAGGACAATGATATCCATCTAGCGGAAATTAAATGGAATTAAAAAACAGTAGAAACAACAAACAGCCTATATTTTAGTGATCCAATGAGTATACTTAGTGACGTCTTTTTATATCCATGACTCCTTGAAGCATGACGCTGACAGATATCCGCGCTTCCTGATGCTTGAATCGGTTTATTAAAAGCAGCTGTGGGCGTTTCATCAGTCAACTTGCAGAAGCTCAGTAGCAGAGGGAGAAATCTATTAAAGAGTCTATATACTGTAGGTAAGGGTTCATATACAATGTATAATAATATATTGTCGGTTTTAGGTTGACCCTTCGAAATTTGCTATTTCATATAGATGGTGATATTATAAATCAGCAACATTGGGACATTGTATAAAATAAGTTTTTAGCAAGGACACATGCCGCCCAAATTTGCTCGTCGAGTGCATGCATCAGATAAACGGCAAGTAAAGAAAATTCAAAACGTATACATGCATATTATACATTGATGCATTAATTACTTGTACTTGAACGGCATCGCATGTTCTCTGCCAACTCCACATTTGGCAAATATTTCGTTGTTACAGTTGATTTCGCATAGCTCTTTCCTTAAATGTTGCCAACTTCGTTCCAAAGTTTGTTCATAATCATATTCACAAACAGTTTGTAAACAATGCATTTTATTGGCTTCTTTTAGTTCTTGCAGGGGCCAATCAAAGGCTTTGTTTTATGGCGTGTGATTACCGTCAAAATTTTATTACTGATTTGCGATGCTGTTGTAAATTTTATGGACTACGTCGTTTTACAATAAAGCTAATTTTCTGTTGTTTCAAAGTCCTAAGTTCGACTTTAATTGACAACCCAGTTTTATTCTATAACGTAAATAAACTTTTTGAAAAAGTACAATTTCGTGAGGCACAAATATTAGTTCATCACAAAATAGAAAACATCACTATTCGTGTAAATCCTATTTTGTCACAAACTGAATTTTCTGTTGTGTCACGGCTGAGAAGAACAGTAACCAATATCTGACGCTCTCACGTATCCGGTCTTATCCCAAACGCTCCCCACCGCAGTGCATTAAACATGTCGGATGAAAACAACAGCATTTTAACAGAAGCATTGTTGGATGCGTTCGGAATTTGGCAAGGGGAAATTTAGATTAAACATGATCGATGCAATCCATTTCAGGTTAGACTGGTTGCATGGAATTTTTGCACGTTAATTTTATAAAAATTACGATAACACTTCATTAGTGCACTTAATTGGGACACACCTTAACATATAAAGATGGACAAGATATACAATTCGACAACCCTGTTACAAGAAAAATCGGTCTGCACGTACAACATTCTGCAACAAACATGATATACAAGCAACAAGATATATATAGTATTGGTTGATCTAGAATTTTCATTGTGCGATCATCACGCCCTTTCTCGCCGCACAGCGCGGCGTATTAGAAGTGTTATTTGGAATAAACCTTGATATTTAATATTGTCCTTTGTAGTTCCTTGTGAGAAGATATTAAAAGAACAATAGAGAAAGGAAATGGATTTGAATAGTTATGGAAATATCAAGCTCACCGTAACTCTTGTACCAGCTATTGTCGTAACTATTGCTTGTATCATTGTTTGGCGTCGTTATCCAAAAAGCGAGGAATTGATGCTCATAATCATGAAGGGCATCATCAGTAGAAAAAATATTGACAACAGACCTACATACCTTGTCTGCAACAGGAAACTCCCGTCATCAAAGCGACGTCATTTTATGTATAATTCCATTTTCATTATTACTATATGCGTGATGTGTTTTTCTACTGTCGCCATCATCGAAGTAACTTACGAATGCCTTCACGACCCAGACTTGGATTGCTTCAAAAAGAAAGATGATGTGAAATTATCTGAATTTCTGATTGAATACGATGAATCACCTATCAACTGTTCAACGATTTCGAGGGGTGATTTCGTTATTTGCTACCGTCTGACTGCTTTTGATCCTGAGAGAGCCTTTATTGGCACTGCGGCTGGATACTTATTATTCAAAATGCTCAATTTTGGCCTTCTTATCGTGGCGCATGTCATGCTTTTGGTAACACAAAAATTGCCGGAAACTTTGGTAAACCGCTTTAAGATCGGGTTTGCCTTAAGTATCTTAGCTGTATTATTTATTCCACTCCTTTTAAGAATATTTCTAGATGAGGTGGAATCAGCATTTCGTAAGATGTCATACACAGTGGTGCTTCAATTCCTGTGTCTTGCGGCGGACCTCGTCCATTTGGTACTTCTTCCTTGGGAAAAGTTCAGTAAAAGTAAAGAGTATTATGGAGATGCGTCTTTACCAGACAATGCTGATGCACTTGAAAACGAATTGGAAATGGCCTAAAATTATAATGGCGAAACACTTTCAGCGGTGCAATAACTGAACACGTTTGTAACATATTCATATACAGACTACTAATAAAACATAATAGGAGGGCCCAGAAGGGGTAAAATGAGAACTGGGATTGATCTATTTTTAGACTGGGAAAATGGGATTTGGGTTACTGGGACTGGGATTTGGCCACTGAGAATGAGAAATGAAGTCCTCAAAAATGGGATTGAGGTAATGCGAGTCGATTCCCAATTTTTCTACGTTTTAAGTATTTTAAAATACAATTTTGATCCGTTTTTGGTGTCTTTGGTCATGATTTTTGTTGTTTAACTATATTATTCACAGCTCTACCTGCGAACAGGCATACTCTGGTGCCCGGAATTCTGGGTTTTTTGATTATGCGTGTCTCAGAAATGCTGCAAATGCCATTTCCAGGATTCAAATTTAAAAATCCCCAATATTTCATAAAGTGTCTGCCACTTGCACACACGGTGGCTTTTAAAAAAGGTCTTAAAACTGTTTATTCTACCGATAAATAAAGGGTTTTTATTGACTGGGATTTCAATAACTCGGACTGGGATTTCTAATAAAAATCCAACTGGGACTTGGATTTTGCCAAAATTTCAGGTGGGAAATGGGATTGGGATCCCCCCCCCCCCTCCTTCAGGACCCTTTAATAGTGATTTAATGCATTTTGGTATGATATAATGATTTTTGGTAAAGAGATCTTTAGCATTAGCTATCTTACATTTAGAGTTATAGCTATCTTACAGCAGTTTTCTATTGCGCATGTGTTATTTTATGATCCTTTTTGAATGCAACAAACTGTATTTTGTGCGGTTCAGACAATATCTGTAATATTTCAATAATTATTATTATATGTTTTATGTTTACATGAAAACTCAGGAAAGTACTGCAGGGGGGAGACGGGTGAGGCGAAGAAACTGATAGATAAGAGCAGTGGTGTTAAGTAACGAAGTTAATATAACACCACGGAAAAACGTCTGCGCATGCGTCAACATTACTGAAATCTGTATTGCGAACGTGACGTCAAGTGTTCCGAATGTTGTCAAAAACTCAAAATGGAAGCCACTTCGATGTTTTGCCTATTCTATGAAAATGCAAGCGGAATAATGAGCGTGACAACCTAAAAACTAGAAATAATTATAGTCTACATGTGCAAGAAGTAGTATTATGCAAGAAAGTAAACCAAAGGTGACTGTCGATAAATTTATTGTATAAAACGTTCTTTAAAACTTAACCATACAAAGATATTTTTCGTAGGTTTATGTGATCCGCATTTTTGTCAATAACTTTTTTTGTGTAGCATGTATAATTTTTGCGTTGACTATATTTAAGGGTAATGATTTACCCTACAGTTTAATCGTGTGCAAATGCTTAACTATTCTATAGTTTTCTTAACTTTTCTGCTTTAAGTTCGGTATTCCACAATTTTTCAAGAAATGTTCACACGCCTCCCGATCTTAAACGGTAATTTTTAATTTAAATTCTGTTTCTCTTTAGATTTTAAATGTTAAAATCTTTTCATTCATCTCTAAACTACCCGTCTAGTGTATTTTTGGTTTGTTTCAATTACTTTAAATCATTAAATAGCCATGCTTTTTGTACAATTTGGCATTTAAATTCCTCGCCAGCTTTTTTGTGCCCCACGCATGCGCAGACGTTTTTCCGCGGTGTTCTTCGTTACTGTACTTGAGTACTATTTTTGAGAAGTGAGCATGTAACAAAGTAAACGTTTTACTTCGTTATTTTCATTTTGTGGCGAAGTATTTCGTTACTTTTTGTATCTGCGAATGCAGATATATTGCCATCGTGCGCGTACCGGAAGTTTGTAAGCGTAATTCTAGCCAATCAGAGACAGCGTATAGATGAGAAAGACTAGATGGCTCGCAAATCGTATAGTTAGTTTTTATTCGATCTAAACATAAATTAATTAAAAGGAAAATAGTTCAAAATACATTACATTACAAATTACATATAGACATACTATGAATTATAAATCTGTCACTTCTGTGGCGAGTCAGGCTAGCTTGCTTTTACAGTAACGTCAGGTTAACATGTCTTTACAGGTTGGCAGTGTCTACTTCAGGTTAGCAATTTCTATTTCTGTTCAAATCTCAGTTTTAATAAAAGTTTTAAATATCCGATAAACGTCCCTAAATTTGTCTACCTTTTTGAAATATAAAAACGGCCGCTGTCTATACATTCCAAGTTATTTGCAAATAGAAAACTAATTATCAGTTCGACTGCAAATGGTCAACTCTTGTGTTTACACACGCTTGGGATCAATTAGTTCTGAATCATGCATATTCTACAAACATTGTATTTCAAAGGGTTTGCAGGTTTTTTGATACACCCTGTGGTTCTCGCCGATATCTCGCTAGAGGAAAAACAAAAGGCTTTGACAAGGATCGGTAATTATTGAGAAATGCATGATTACAAAAACAAAGATACGAAAGCCTAGACGCGACACCTAAGTACGTTTTTCACTTTTACATTTTTCGGTTCGTGATTTGCAGGTTCTTGATTTTCAGGTTCTCGATTTTCAGGTTCTCGACTTTTAGATTTTTAGGTTTTTAATTTTTAGATATATCAGTTTGAAGATAGCAAATTAATTGCAAATAATGGTATTTATAATATGGCAACATTAGCTATTTAGAGCGGCGATTAAAACACATACTGCCGACTGCCGTGATATTATTCATCGTTTTAGTAACTAATTTATAACTCACTTCTCACATATACAAGCTTAATATTCAAAAGTAAAACCACGGACGTACCGAGCGATATCTGGTCGGGGGGGGGGGTCGGGGGGAAGGGTGAACTCAAAAGTTTGGACCCCCTTCCTTTTGGACTACACCCCACCCGTTTTTGGGTTTTTGACTTTTGGGTTTTTGAATTTTGGGTTTTTGATTATTGGGTTTTTGATTTTCAGTCTTGATTTTTCTGTCTCTGATTTTTCAGTCTTTGATTTCTTGGTCTTTGATTTTTGGCTCTTTGATTTTCGGGGTTTTCAGACTTGACTGTGTTTGGTTATGAGACATGTTGCCGGAACGTACACCAAGTTGGCCAACGGATCGAGACGAATAGCTCGCCAAAACATTATGGGCTACACCCTTTCCTTCACGGAGCCAAGCCTTGCGCTTTTTCTACTGCCAAGCGCTTATCTGGGGCCCATATGTTCTATCCACCTCTTTCATGCCGAATAGAAGGCCATAAAATTGCAGATCACCATAAAAATTTAAAGCCACTCCGCATGGAGCGCCAATGGGAATTTTGCAGACGATTCGTACGCATAAATCTATTTCAAGCTACCTGTGTCAAGGCCAGCAACACAACAACATGATTTACCGTATAATTAAAGTCGTAATAAGTTCGAACAACAGCATAATTCATGTTTAACGACAGTAATGTCTATTTATAAATGTCGAGAGAAATTCGCTGGTGTTTCCCAGAGCCTCAGCAAGTGTCCACAGAGGACTGCAGGCTCAGGGTTCGAGATTGCATAATGACAACGACAGTGAATTAGGGAAATAATTTTGCATGTGTCCAATCACAGGCGGCCCAATTTAAAAGTGAATGATCAGGAGTTGTGGGTTTTTACGGCTTTTATAAACAAATTTTATGCTCAACCAAAAGTATAATATTCTAAACACGTTCTTAAATTAAACTACACTTTAACAATAAAATATAGTTGGCATGATAGTATAAGGCCTTTGCATTCTTTTAGTGACGTACTCCATGAGCTCATTTAGAGCGGTTTATGCAACCTTTTCTGTGTTGTGTGTTGCTCGTCATTAGCGGCCCGACCGCACTGCCTTCCAAGTCAAATATCTCCGCTCAAACTTGTCACACGGCAAACAAATTCGATTAGATCTTTTCACAAAGTCCACAAAGGTTTCTCTTTCTAAAGATTGTGGTTTGGCAAATTTAGCGACAAACGAAGCCAAAAGATCTTTCAATTTCGGCTTTTTTCATAATACTTCGAACTGTTCGGGCATGATCATAGACGTGATGTAAACAATACCCAATATGATGTAAACAATACCCAGGGGCGCTCATTTAATACATTTTATGGGGAGGTTTGGACGGATCCGGGATCATTTATGCATTTGAAATGGCAATTAAACAGACAAAACAGACAATTTTGTGAGATATAACTTCATACGATTAACAATTAGAAAATCTTAGATCAAGCAGTTCTATTTGAAGAAATGCTATTATTATTATTACCACTTAGTTATTACAGTACTTATATGTGGCCGCTGGCTTTGAAGATCTGTACAAATAACAATTATAGCATATCGATCGTTCATGTAGTTCTACACTTGTTGACTAATAATACGCCGAGTCTTGGGGAGTTTTACCCAGCGGTCAACTATTACGTTCAGGTCAATTGAATCAGTTAATTCTTTTTCTGACCCTAAAGTCATGAAATCCTTAAGCCTGTTCTGATTCATCACTAAGCGCACAACTGTCTTGATCAATTTCAGCTTAGAGAAGCTTCGCTCACTCGACGCCGATGATTATAATAGGTGCAGTTAAAATCAGGCGATAGCATCTGTTTGTTAAAGGAAACTTGCTTTCAAATTTCATAGCTAGACGTGCTTCTTTTGCGATTGTTTCAAATATCCAGCTTGTTCTTTCGACAATGATTTCTAAACAACGTCAGTTCAGCGCATAACACGTCGTTGTTAGGTTGTAATGAACGTGGAAGCATCTTTACAAGAGAGTCAACGTCTTCTTCTTTGACCATTGTCCGATGAAGGAAGAAGCCGGTTAATTGCTGGGGCAAGAATATCACATGTCGTTTCAACGTTGTCGGTAAGGGCTTGTGTTTGTACGTCGAGAATTTGGACGAATTCCTTTCTGTAGAAATCCTCGAGGTTAAGATTTTTTGCCGTTTCTGGTCTTTTCTCCACTCTTCTTGTTGGGCGTCTGTGACGATGTTGTTATTCGATATTAGCATCCACTCCATGGCATCCAGAAAATTTCACAGCAGCAGTAATCAGCCGGTTGTTTACGTTTTGTTCATCATCATATAAGTAGCACAGAGTGAAAATGGTTGCTTTAGCAGACTCTAGAGCTTTTTTAGTTTAGATATAGATAATGAAAACCATATTGCTGTTCTAGTAATCATTTTATGCCACAACAGTCCCCAAATGTTACTCGAAAGGTGTAGTACAAAATATGATGTGATGGCCTTGCTTGTGTTGTTCACAAATGCATGCCTGTGATAATTATGTTGTATTTGATGAAACTGCATGAGGAAAAAAGATAAAAAAGACTTGTATTTGTGTAAATGTAAACTTAACAAATATAAGTGTAGGTGTAGACTTGTGAAAAATAAAATTGGAGATGCATGTGTGAAATTCAGATAACGGTAGAATATATCCTGTGGTGTAAAAAAAATTATCAGACCCAAAAGGTATGATTGCGCTGTACTAAAAAGCTTGTATGGAGGCATGTAAAATATATAAAGGAGATAGTCACGAGAAGGTGATAATCATGTGTGTACAAATTCAGTTTCTTTTCAAAAATAGTAACGCCAGGCACCAACCTGGTCTCCCGTCTTCGTAGGAAGTTGCTAGTCCCCGAGCCGACGGCGCGAAGCGCCGTGCCAGGGTACTAATCCCCCCCGGCTATTTACACCCGGGGAAACGAAAGCATTAGCGAAGTCTAAAGTTCATCAATTATCGCGGGCGTAACCAACGAACGACGATCTTGAGTGGGTGGTCATCCTCACTGATCTCAAAAATATGGCGGACTGTCATGGATAGCGAACACTGATTGGTCAAATTTAAAATTTGTTGTTGTATGACAAATGACGACTTCAACTGACAGATACTTGATACTTTATGAAAATAATTTGCTTTTTGCACTACAGTTTTTTGTACGTTTGCAAAAAACTTTGACAGCTTTCAAAGCAATTTGTTCTATAAAAAATTTAATAAAACAATTACGGTATCAAATACCAATTGAAAAGATATGGAGCCAAATGAAGAGCGGCAAGGAAACGACAAGAAAGCCGAGCGTCTAGCGAAAAGGAGGGAGCGAAGACGACAACGTTTGCTCGAGGAGACTGCTGAGGAAAGAGAAGCTCGCCTGGGAAAGCGTAGAGAAGCATGGAAAAAAAGACTGCTGAAGCGAAAGGTAAGCAAAGGCTTGTCTTCACAACGCTATGTACCAATGATACTGTAGCTATACAAGTTGAAGTATGATATTCGACCCCCTATATTCGACCCTTTCTTCACAATTTTCCAATAAAGAGTTTGTCATGACACGCTCAAGTCAGTATAACCAGACTGTATTTTATTTATATCAGTTATCACAGCCACAGGCAATTTTATGCTGTCAAATACCGTCGGTTGCAACTAAGGGTGAACAGTTGCAGATAAAACATTCTCTATTCGAATTCTCATTAAAAAGCCTGTAAAGGTTTCCAGTTGGTCTCTAGCCCAAGTTCCCAACACGTTCAGACCACACAAAGTTTTGTTACTTATTATTGTACACATGGGAAACAACAATTAAGTGTTGTTGTTCTTGACAAACATTGAAGATTCTAATCACGCGAATGTTTTTATGAGCGACTGTTCATCGTTAGTTGCAAGCGACGACCCATACAACATACTATGAACATTTTCCCGACTGTGATCGAATGTGCAACGATATATTTTTCAAAGTTGTTATCAATTCCTAAAATTTGTTTATAGTAAAACGGCCTGCTCAGCACTCACTACTCACGATGATTTCATTTAGAAATGCAGTTAACAGGAAAAGAACTGATTCTAAAATATGTAAATTTAAAAGCATTGGCTAACAGAATAAAGCGATGTGAAGACAAGGTATAAACTTTTATAGTTGCTATTTGTTATAAAATCCTATAAATAAACCGATTCAACAATAATTTTGCCTCGAATTTGCATATTCTATGTATTCTGTATTTGTATTTAAAATAGATTCCCAGTTAGCTATAATGCTAGTTTACACGAGGTCTACGCTATGGTATATGAAGTTATAAATATATATATATATATATATAGTTTACTAAAAACTACGATGCTATACAAAATTACAATATAAAATTTAGTCATAACAATAGCAATAGCAGTGCTTATTCGGTATATATATATATAAAATAAACCACGACAACTGTCTACGAAGAGCAGATTTAAAAGCTCCTTTCATTACTATGTGTTTTGTCTCTACACTTAAATTGTTCCAAATTTCTATTCCTCTTCTGGTAAACGCTCTAGCAAGAAATGTTTTCTTCTTATAAACAGGTTTCGCAAGTAGTAACTTATCACCTTTACACTTCGATGCGGATCTTGTCTCATGTTCATGGGTAATGATGAGAGGATGAAGTTGCATAAATATATAGTAAATGGTTCCTTCCAGTAGAGTGTTCTATGTATAATCATAGCTGTTCTCATGTGTATTCTTTGTCTGACCGTTAGCCAGTTAAGTTCATTGTGTAGTTCTTTTCTGGATTTTTCATGAATTTTACAACCTACGATCAATCTAGCGACTTTGTTTTGAAGTATTTGAAGAAAGTCTAAAGAATTCCGATTCAGAGCTGAACCCCAAACCGTACAGCAGTAGTTGAGTTTCGATAGTATAAGTGCATCCGCAATAGATCTTAAAGCAGCTTTTGGTATGTATTTACTAAATCTATACAACAGACCGAGCGCTTTTGAACAATCCTTCAAAAGACCATCGCAATGGGGTTTCCAACTTAATGCCTCATCCATCTGCACTCCCAGAAGTTTGACACATGAATACTGAGTAATGCTTTTGTTCTTCATACTTAGGTTCAGTGGATGTGCTACTTTAATCCTTTGGCGACCTCCAATTAGGATACTTTTAGTTTTCTCCACATTTAGCACCAGACGATTTTTCCGGATCCATTCCTCGACGTTAAGTAGATCATTATGAAGATTTTCTGATATTAAATTGACATTTTCTTCCACATGGTATGGAGTGCTGTCATCAGCATACAAGGTAATACTATAGCTGTATCCAGTACAGATGGTAAATCATTAATGAATAGACTAAACAGCATAGGTCCAAGACAACTTCCTTGGGGTACTCCACAGACAATTTTCGATGGACTAAAAATTCACGGTTTATGTTAACCATCGAAATTCTGCCTGTGAGATATGACTTGATCCAGTTGATGGCCCCTTCAGAAAAATTATAGTCTTTCAGTTTCAACAATAGTAAATCATGATCAACTAGATCAAAAGCAGCACTAAAGTCTAACAATGCTACACCGGTGAGCAGTCCGTTTTCCATGTTTCTTAGACAGTCGTCTGTTAACTGAATTAGTGCTGTCTCTGTACTGTGGTTTTCTCTGTAGGCATGTTGATTCATCGCCATTATTTTGTTCACCGAGAGATAATGCTGCATATTTATATTTTATTTTTATAGTATAAAAATAAAATTGTAATACTATGAAATAAAATACATTTCTGTTTATTGACTAGTACTTATTTAATGTCTTCTTCATCCAGTGGTCAGAGTAAATTTCTACTTCTAGCAAGTAAATATTTGACAAGCAGTCTGGAATAAGCACAGGAATAAGCACAATAAGGAATTTTATAGTAGCAACATGAAAAGTTTTTTGTTTTTCCATGACTTTTCATGCATCAACCAAATCCAAGTGTGCCCATCCCACTCGCCCATCCATTTTCCTGTAAAGAACATCCCGGGGTTGGGCATTTCCACTCGAACCTTAGCCCCGGCGGGGCATTTGAAATTAAGGATTTGGAGGTTTTGCGATCACTGATAACTTGATAATAATAGGAGGCCCCGTTTACACTATACCTGATTGCATCGGAGCGTAGCGATTTTCATACCGGATTCGGCTGCTGTTTACACTACGCCACAGTAATCCGGTACGCGGCGCGGAGCAAAAATCACTCCGCTTTGGAGGTGATATGAAAAGTAATCCGGTATGTGCCGGAGCAGTGTAAACAGGCTAATCCGGCGTGTATGTTTTAACATTGTCGCCTTTATTTGCTCGCTTTTACAATACTTTATAGCTGTTGTTTGTTTCGCCTTGCAACCATTTACCATTTCTGCCGAATACATGTAAAGAAAACGATAATAACATTGACTTTTTGCTTTCGAAAGAGCAAAATTTAAAGCTAGATTACAGTCCATTCTGCGCATGTGCGGGCTTTGTTTACATTTTTTGTTTTGGTTTGGATCCACTTCAATTGTATAATATGAAGTATAGCGGCTATGCACTATATAAATGGAGTCCGAGTCAGGAGTGGAGTTATTAATTTTTTTAAAATTGTCTTCTGAAAGACAAGCAATTAAATATTTTGAAAGATCATGAATGGAAGATATATTGTTGATCAATTCGGCATTTGTTTTTTGTGTGCCTCGTTGATGAAACATTCAGACGAGACCGACAAAGCCGACCCAAAGGTGCGAGTCACTGTATTGATTATATTAATGTTCGGCATTGTAAGATAAACTTTGGAAGTGTCAAAGTAATCACTAATTTTTCCTTGGGGTATTTGTTCGTCAAAACACATTGCCAAAGTCATTGTTGCTGTCATGGCAGAAGCACTCGGAGAAAGCTTTTCGCTGGAAGAATTGGAAACGATATGTTCATGTCGCGGCTTGCTCCAGCTTCTGTCTTCGATAGAGTATGGGTATTTTTTGCTCAAGCGCGTGCCGCGAAGAGGATTTTGATACATGTATGAACAATCGAAGGACAGGTGGTGAGTTTGTATTATTGCTATTAGTTATGTACTGTTCGTTAGAAACGTGCTTCACATGTAATCTTATTGTATTTGTTCATTAGTTTATAACTTTATATATGTTCTGTTAGTTTATACGCAAAAATGTGGCCTGAGCAATGGTTCATTTGAGAATATGTAATGTTGTTCACCGCGATAGTTCACTCAAAGGATAATGATTATCTAACAATAGCTGGGTAAACTTTGTTTACATATTTTGATA